ACACTGATATGCCACAATGTACTTATATTATATAATACATTGATATGCCACAATGTACTTATATGACATAATACACTGATATGACACAATGTACTTATATTATATAATACACTGATATGTCACAATGTACTTACGTGACATAATACACTGATATGCCACAATGTACTTATATGACATAATACACTGATATGCCACAATGTACTTATATTATATAATACACTGGTATGCCACGATGTACTTATATAATACACTGATATGCCACAATGTACTTATATTATATAATACACTGATATGCCACAATGTACTTATATTATATAATACACTGATATGCCACAATGTACGTATATGACTTAATACACTGATATGCCACAATGTACGTATATGACTTAATACACTGATATGCCACAATGTGCTTATATGACTTAATACACTGCTATACCAAAATGTACGAATCGCTAGATGTGCGATAGTTCATTTTACTACTACTGTTGTACTCTACCAAATACTCAATCACGTGACTGAAAATGGGCATTGTTTATTACTCACATGAGCAACGTTGATCTTCACATCTCCGATATTCAATACTAGCGCCATCACAGCCGTCGCCTCCATCTCCCCTGCCTTCACATTTCCGACTTCTCGTCTGATATCCCACGCTGCAGCTTACTGAACAGTCTGACCACGATTGCCAAGAAACCCACTTCCCGTCAATTACTATTGAACGAAAACAAGAATACTAGTAGTAATAAGAAATCAAACAAAACCAAATCAATAAGTCATTGACGTCAAAGAATATTATTATTACTTTTCTGTCATATTATTGTGAAAACATAGTACTGGTCAAAGAAGTTAAATAAATAGTCTCCATGTAATTCTCCATTACACTAATAAACAACCACGAACTGTACTCTACGGTACGGGTGACACGTGTGATTAGTACAGGTTTTGGAATGGAAATTGATAGGCACCGTATAAAACACAATAAAGATTAGTCATTGTATCTGGTGTCACTCTCTCATGGCCTCGAATTATTACCCAAGATCTATTGAGCTCTATATCA